GACTGGCTCTGCACGAAGCGTATGTTTGTGTGCGTAAGCGCGCACAGGCAGATGAGTTATGCACCAGAAATAAAAAGTGTGTGCGTTGGCAAGATGCACTTTTTTGATGCGTGAAGCTTATTTTGTAAGCCAACCGTACACGAGCAGATTGTGGTTCATTTCTCACGGTTATTTCAGTTTATTTGACAGATATTGTATCTTTTTAAAGTGCCACACTGAGGATGGACTGTGAGTACTGGGGATAGGGGCCGTGCAGTTGGCCTGAGATGGGTCAGATAAGCCATGCTTTGTGCTGGGCATTCTGCAGCGTTGTTTGTTCTGTTGTTAAATCTCATACAAATTCCTTGTTGTTCAGAAGGATAATTGGAAGGATAAGGTGCCCATGAAATTCCATTTCCTCCCTTGGCCATTAGCATGGCCAGAGTTGGATTCATTTTCATAGTGTAATCTGTGTGCATTTCCTAGTGATGTCAGAACTCTGTTCTTATTATTGAGTACAAATGGAGCAGGTGGATTTTTGGTTAATGGCGCCATGAGAAGCAGACCTCGATTTCCCAGGGAAGTGACCAACATCCCTGATGGCTGATCTGCATCCACCACAGCCCCTCCTCAGTGGCTCTGAAACCCCTGTTGTTAGTCAAAAAAAGTGACTGATATGCAAATATTGTTTCCTCCGGACTCCAGCAGTGCTGTGATTTGAGCATCAATGATGGAAGTGCTATAAGGCACTTCTTTGTAACAGCACTTGGAGATTTACAAAGTCACTATCTGGAGGTTCCTTGGGCTTTTAATCCTAATACCTGGGGAGAAAACATGCAATCCACACAGACTTCCCATCTGATATTTTATTAATGAGATTAAATGGGTAAGCTAAATTATACATGTAAATCAAATAGAGAACAGAGAGGGCTGATACGAAGTCAGCACGTTAATCAGGTTATCAAGTTGGGTTATGTGATACTCTGTGATCAGTGCCCTCAGTCTTATCGCTCAGAACAGGGGGTAGGAGCCCTTGCAGAGGGGATTACTGCGGTACTGGGGGAGGGTTGTGCCCTGCCACCAGCCCCACAGCAGGGGCTGTAGCATCAGGCAAAGTGTCCCAACACCCTGACCCCTCCCTCTCTGCATGTGCAGCCTGTCTGCCTGTCCCACGAGGTGCGGGAGCTGCTCTCCCAGGGCTGAAACGCCTGTGTGAGTGTCAGAGGTTATTTAGACAAAATGCTCCCTGGTGAGCAACGAGATCTGAACACAGAAGTGCGGTCAGGGCTGCTGAGCACAGATTCACAGGTTGTCCGCACTCGTTAAGCTGTGACGCGTAGCACATCCCGTCTGCTCCAAGTTGTAAACTCGGGCTGTGATGGTGAGGGAGCTCAGTGCAAGCTGCTGCAAAGCGTGGATCTCTCGCTCGGGGAGTGTGGTTTAGATCTGATAGTTTCAGCAATGGCTCTTGTGCACATCTCCTGTCTGAAAGATATCCAAGGAACAACTGTTGTCTGTTTGTAAGTTTGGAATATGTCACATATAAAACAGTATTCATTTTGTAAGCTGACCTTCTGTTAGTAGCAAAGATGCTTACCACGGTAACAACTTTGCACTTCCCTGATGCCCCCAGTGCATTTGTTGGTAAGCACTGCATCGTGCTGCTCGTGTACCTGCCTTGAGCTGGCAGAGCTGCACGCTCCTGCAGGGTGCATCACACAAGGTGCTGCCAGGGGGCTGTGTGCCAGCTGCTTAGCTTCAGCTTATGTCAAGTGACCTCTTTGCGTGATGGTTCGCTGTGATCCAAAGGGTTCCAAGAAGTTAAACCATGTCCGTGCTTTTCTACTTTCTGCAGAGTTCTCCTCTATGAAGCTCCTTGTGGGTATTTTCAAACTGCACTTACTTGTATGTCTTAAAAATAGGAAAATGTAGGCTGATCACAAGTTGACAGTAATATCTATGTATTTGGCATCAATATTAGTGAGCTTCTGTCATCTGGCAATTATTTCCATAGTATACCATATGGCGAAGAAAATGTTTTCATTCACCCACATACGACTGCAGTTATTGATAACCCTGTGCTGCACACAGCCCTGTCCCACAGCACTGCCTCAGCCAGCTGGGCCCCAGGAGCCCATGTCCTCTGCCAGGGGGGAGCACCCAAGGCTCAGCACCCAAGGCTCAGCACAGCACCCCGAGTTCTGGGGATCTCCTGGGATCTCCGTGCCTCCTTGAGCTGATCTGCAGGGCCCTGGGCCACTGCTGCTCTTCCTGCTGCCTCGCTAAATGCTGACAGAGAAATTATTCCACCTCTTTACCTTCCCCTGTGCTGCTGTGTGTCCCTGCTCGACTGATGGACACCCAGTGAAAATGACTTGCACCTCGTGGCCTCAGCATGCAGCACCATGCACATAGAATCATAGGATGGCTTGGGTTGCAAAGGACCACAAAGATCATCTCATTCCAACCCCCTGCTGTGTGCAGGGTCACCAACCAGCAGACCAGGCTGCCCAGAGCCACATCCAGCCTGGCCTTGAATGCCTGCAGGGATGCACTCTGAGTATTTTATTGAGCACTTCTGGACATGGTCACAGCCTGGACTTCGCAGAAAATGGAAAATGCACTTTATGGAAATTTCAGCATTTGCTTTCAACCGTGTCAGCAAGAAACACCCACCTGAGTACCATGGCTTCTGAAATTATCTGTGGGAGAGATACTTATTTAAAAAGACATCTCTGTTATTTCAGTACTTGGCAAAACCATTAGTTCCATTTTTCACATGAGATTTAAATATAAAAGGTAGATGTTTGAAAATAGACATACAGATATCTTTTGTTTGAAGACGTGCAAGTGGTGTCTGCGTTTTCCCAGGCCGATCCCTTTCTCAGCTCTCACTGCTCCCACCCCTCAGATGGGATTCCCAAAGGCTGCATTCTGTGAAACCTTCTCCCCATTGGGACTCGTGGCCCCAGAACCCAACGCAGGGAGAGCTCTCATGTAGCACTGCACAGAAACATCACAAAGGGCTCTTTGGAATCGAAAGCTGACAGATTATTTGTTGCCTTCTGTTGTTTGTTCCAATTTTAGGCAACTTGAGCCACGTGTGAAGGATGCTGAGCAGTCTCTGGGTGCTTCTTGGGAGGCTTTGCACTGTGGTTCTGATTTGTGTGATGTGTTCGTGGCAGGAGAGAGAGGCAAAAAGCAGAAATATTGGGGAAGGTTACTGGAGAAGGTTCGTACAGCAGCCTCGAAGCTTTTCAATTAAAATTTGAGAACAAGGATTACCTTTGGGAAGGCTTTATTCATTACCTGTCAGTTTCTAAAGTTCTCTGGCCGTTGTAAACCTTCCAAGGAATTTGTGAATTTAGACACAGAATCTGACTGAGAATACAGAGCAGAGTGGGGAGGGGATGGCTTGTTTGTTTCATGCTGTTGGTTGGAATCGTTCATTTTCTGAGGTGTTTCCCAAAGTTCCCAAGCTGTCTGCCATCTGCTCGGGAAGCAGAAGAGCAGGGCTTTGCTTAGCAGGGATGGTGCCAGGGCAGCCCTCAGCTGGGCAGTGAGCTCCTGAGGATGGTGCTGGACGAGACAGCCAGCAATGAGGTGGGAATATGGGAATAATTCCCAAAAGGTATCTCAAAAGGAAATGTACACATGGCATTGGTCTGTCTGATTGTCCCAGAGCTCTGTGAAAACACCGGGACGGGCTGTTAGCAAAGCTGCCCTGCTGCAGCACAACTCCCAGGCCAGGCATGCCACGAGAGCACTGCTGCCACGGATGCTGCTGGGAACCTTCACCAGGCAGCACAGAGCAGAGCAGTGCCGGCTCCCCCAGCGTGGCTGCAGTTGGCAGCCAGCTGTTGTGTGTGAGGAACTCCAAAGAATGAAAGAAACCCGAATTTATGCAGCACCGTTGCTGTACTGGGAGTGCTGTCCTCCCCCATGGAGCCACTTTTCAATCTATGCCCACATCTGCTGCCTGTCTTCTACTGCCCTCCTGGGCCTGGGGGCAGGTGGGGATGCTCAGGTGAGGGAATTCAGCTGCTGTTGCCTTCCTGGGCTGCTCTGATGGCTGTCAATCAACAACCAGTGAGAAAGCCAGGGCACAGGAATCCGAAAGAGAACAAAATAATACAAAAATTAATCTGGACTATTGTTGATAGAGATTTATGTGGTCTTTTGTGAAGGTAACAGAATGCTATTCTAGACGTGGCTTTTGCCTTTATTCGAAGATGAACAAATGATTTGTTTGTTCATTAAGGTCGAGCAAAGATGACATCCAATAACTCCCCAAAGATTACAGAGCTCTCCCTAAAATCAGCTCTGGACTATCACACCCAGCCTTGTGCTGGGTGACCCAAGCAGGGTATGGCCGTGGCTGGCTGTATGTGAGCTCCGTGGCCCCGCAGCTCTGCCTCCTCCTGCCAGCAGCCCCACATACTTGCAAAGCTCATCGTACCTTGGGAAGATCTTTTCCCCAAAGTCTGAGAAATATCACTGAAGATCACAAACGCGTTTCAAAGTGCACTTGGAAGAAAACCTCAAAGATGAACGAATGTTAGAGCAGCTGCAGGGAGATACTTTGCATGTCTGTCCCAGCAGGTGTTGCATTTTGGGCTACGTTCGACGGATCCCAACTCCGGCCGTTCCGTCGTCGTTACAAAATGCCGGCTTTATTCGGGTGAGCCCCGGGGCGAGGTGGGCTCTGGGGGCCGCGCGGCGCCCGCAGCCGAGCCGTGCCGAGCCGAGCCGAACGGCTCCGAGCCGATGCGGGCCGGCGCGCGCTCCCGCCGCCGCCAGGACGGTTGCCAGGCAACGGCTGCGTGGCAACGGGCTGCCAGCCCGGGGGCCGCCCGCCGCCGCGGCGCGCAGAGCGCAGAGCGGGCGCGCTGCCCGCCCGGTAGATGGTGCGGCGGCCGCCCGGGAGCAGCCACGCGCCGCGCTCGGCCGCCGACCGCGGGCAGCCCACGGGCAGCGCTCGGCCGCCGCCGGGCCCAGGGGCAGCGCGGAGCGGCGCGGAGATGGTGCCGCTGGTGCGGGGCGCCGGGGGCTCCCACCAGTGGCTGGCGGCCGTGCTGCTCGGCCTCTGCTGCCTGCTGCCCGCCGGGCGGCTCGCCGCGCCGGGAGGGGACTTCCCCGGGGCTGCCGCGGACAGCCTGGTGGTGCGGAAGGGGGACACGGCCGTGCTCAGGTAGGAGCGGGCGGGGGGTCGGGGCTTCGGGCCGGGGGGTGCTGAGCGCGGGGCCGTCCCGAACCGCCCCGGAGCCGCCGCGGCGTTCCGTCCTCGCGTCGTTGTGCCGCCCGGCGCCGCTCAGCCCTGCTCCGCTCCGCGGCCGCTGCGGAGTTCCCGCTCTGCCCGAGTCCCCGTGCGAATGCCGGCGTCGCCCTGCCCTCGTTGCTTTCCCGTTCTAACTCTCTGCCTGTACTTTTGTCGCCGTTCCGTCGCCGCGCGCGGTTTCTCGTTGATCTCGGCGCGATCGCCGCGCCGCTGTGCGGAGCTGCCCGAGCCGCGCTCCGCCCGCGTGTCCCTCGGCCAGCCGGGCTGCGGAGCCTTTGAACGGCTCTAAACCCGCTGCACCGGGCCGCGGGGCATCTCCTACGGAATTCGGGATCGCTGTCCTGTCTGCCGTTGCTGCAGCGGCTCCCGAAAATCCAGCCGCTGTCCGCGTAGGGCTGTGGGCAGCGCTCTGCACGCGTGCCCCGCTCGCGCTCCGTGCCGAGCCGAGAGCTGGCCGTGTCTGCGCGCAGTGCGGGGAACGAAGGCAGCGCGGAGCTGCGGACGCTGCGCGCTTAGCCGGCGCTCGATGCTGTTAGCGCGCAATGAATCGCCTTGAGAAGCACCTCGGTGCCGAATCGACCGGTGCTCTAAAGGTTCTCTGCCGGAGCTTGTCAGCCGGAATCGGTGTGGAATTCTAGGCCTGCGTTTGTTGGAAACTCAGTGTTTGTGCAGCTGGGTGGATTACATAAATGGGATCGGGCTCTGGGGATCGGAGCATCGCTGCTGTCTCATGGGCGAACGTCTGCTCGGTAGCGAGCTGCTGCTGAACGGAGCGCAGTCACTGCTCGACTCCGGAACAAAGCAGTTAGATGGGAAACAGCGCGGTGTTGTGTCTGTGGGTTCTCATCCTCCTTGCACTAAGATTAATTTCTTTCATTTCCTGTGCTTTCTGTGGGCTTGCTCTCAAGTAGGAGTTTGGTTTGTTTTCAGCTGCTAAAGCAGCTTGAAAGCCACTTGTTTTCAGGTGTATCACTAGAACAGATCGCTACGCTGTAAACTGCTGAGAGTACAGGGCAGCAAGCGTAAATCGCTCCAGGGAAGTGCTTTCCGAAGAGCATACAGGAGATGTGTGGGGTTGGGCAGGGCTGTGTGCCTGGAATCTCTGGGTGCATGCCGTTGTGCTCCTCAGAACTGTTCCTCATTGCACATCTGTACCATGGATGTGTATGAGAAGCAGTGCTGCTGGTTCCCGGAGCGCTGGATGCTGGCAGCTGATGTAGGTGCAGGCTTGGTGCAAGGCAAAGCAGTGCAGGGGCTGAAAGAAAAGCGTTTCCTTGCAGCTCCCAGCCCAGCTTGGTTTCTCCAGCTGGGGGATGGCAGTGCCCCGTCCTACCGGCACAGCTGGGTTCCCAGCACCGGGCTGCTTTGCTCCCTTCCTCCCCATGCTGTGGGAATGAGGGCTGCAGGGAGGCACCTCTGGCCCACACACAGGCAGCTCTGCACCGAGAGTGTCTGCTGATTGCTTTTTAATAATTAATGATAGAATATGGGAGTCCTTCACTTGGCTTGGAGTCAGCGCTTTCCTGGTTGAGGGAAGGTGGCAGTGGTTTATGGGATGCCTGTTTGGCCCCGATGGGCTGTGGATGAGCAGTGACAGCCTGTGGGACGGAGGGGCTGCTGCTCCTGTGGGTCAGAGCACAGAGGGAAGCACGCAGAGTGTGGCAGGAGTGCTGTGAGAGGCTGAGGGCAGCACCCCTGCTCCAGCCCTCGTCCCTGTGTTCACTTTCCATCATCTTTACCAGAAGTGAGGGATGAAACATCCTTCAAGTGCTGAGGCTTTCAGATAGAAGCCTCCAAGTGCTAACGTGAGGTAAAGCAAGTTGTGTGGATCCTTGATTGATCTGTGCTGTCCCACTGCTGTTTGTTTCACTGCTGATTGAGGTCTTAAGGAATTCTGGCTGTGATGCAGCTGTTTGGTACAACAAACTAATTTGAGGAAGCCACTTGTTTTCAGGTGTATCACCAGAAGAACAGATCACTACACTGTAAATTGCTGAGAGTACAGGGCAGCAATCTGTGTTCCATGACCCGTGTTTCTCTGGTGTCTCTTTTAAACACCTCCCTGTGCAGGGAGGGATGCAGCCCTGGGTGTGCAGTGACCCTGTGGCACTGACAGCACTGTTGGTGCTTCAGGAAGAGGTGACCAGCCCAGAGGAGCTGGGTGAGGCCCCATCCCCTCCACAATTTGTAAACAAAAGTTGCTTGAAGTATCTGAAGTGCAGAGCTGAAAATGATCAAAATGGTTTTCTCAAGCAAGCAGGTTTTTTTTCCTGCATTTTGCTTTTTTTTACAGCTCACAAACGATTAAAGCAGATTTACCTGAGAGCCCTTTCGTAATGTGCAATCACAGAAAATTAAGCTTTAGAACTTGACATCTTTTAAAAACAAAAGATACGTTGCTGCTGTCTGAACATAGAATAATTTATTAAATATGTACTCTAGGATACTTGAATTGATGCAGTTTTTTCCCTGTAAGCGTTTAAGTCCCAACGCTCCTTAGTGGGATGGATGTTCTCAAAGCATTGGATGAGAAGCTGGGTGCTGGAGGCTGGCAGAGCCTCCTGCAGCCCCACGAGGAGAGATGCAGAGCCCAACGCCCAGGAGGAGCAGCCCAGCACCAGGACGTGCTGGAGGCACCCAGCTGGGAAATGGCTTCCAGAAGAGCAACCAGGAGTCCAGATGTACCAGCAGTGCCAGCAGGTCTGAGGTGATCCTGCCCTCTGCTCAGCACCTGGAGCACTGGGCCAAGTGCTGGGCCCCCAGTGTAAGAGAGACCTGGAGCTGCAGAGAGCCTCAGAGATGCTGCAGGGCCTGGGGGAGGAAGAGGGGCTGAGAACTGGAGCTGCTCAGCCTGGGGCTGGGGTGGTTCAGGAGGATCCCACCCACAGCCATCGGTCCCTGCAGGGAGGTGTAAGGAGATGGAGCCAGGCTCTGCTCAGCGGTGCCACTGACAGGCGAGAAGCACTGGGCACAAACTGGGCCCAGGAGGTTCCCCTGAAAGCCAGCACTGAGCACAGGGTCAGATGTTGGCAAGGGACCTGGGGAGGTTGTGGGGTGTCCTCTGTGAGATGTCCAGAAACTGCCTGGGTGATGCTGGGCTCAAGATGCTGGAGGCCCTGCTGGAGCATGGGGAAAGGTGGGCACAGGGGTCCTTGCCAACCTCATCCTTGTTCTTTGAATGCTGTGTAGGAGCGTGCTATGTAGGCAATGTAATGAGTTGACAAACATGCACAGCGTTTCACTGTGTCTTACAGCAGCAAGCAGAGGCAGAAGTGTCCCCACTCTGATATTGATGAGTGTAGCTGTAATTCTGCAGAAGAGGCCCACTGAGCAAGATCCTCGGGGAGCTGCAAAGGTCGTCCTGCAGCCAACAGACCTTGCAGGCAGCCTGTTTGCTGTGGGGAGGCAGGAGCAGTGCTTCTCACTCCCAGCTCCTCCATGTGTTGTGGTTTCTCCATTTTCTCTACAACTGGTCTCCTGTTGGCATTAAGAGCACAGATGTGTAGCAGGCAGCCCATCTGAAACACTGTCCATCTCTTTCAGTGGCTGCTTCCCAACATGTTCTAAAAGAGATCCCTTTGGGGTACAAAAGAGAGCTCTTCACATTAGGTGGTGCCTAAGGTACCTGAAAGCTGATGTGACCAGATATTTGGAGTGAATCCTGTTTTCTTATGGTTCAGGTCAGAGATTCAGCTTTGTTTTCCTATATTTTGCTGATGTTTTTCTCTTGGACGTACAGTGCCTTTGGTGAAGAGTGAGTTCCCTGGGTGCAGGGTATTCTCTGACAAATCAGTGAGAAATTATACATGGGCAGAAGTGTGGAGATGCGTATGAAGAAGTCATCAAAGAAAATGAAATAAATTCTAGCAAAGAAAATGAATTCATGTAAGTCCCTCCCAAGCCTGTGTCCAGATGTGAAGTGTCACAGCATTTTACAGCATCGGCTTTACAAAACAAGGGGTTTGCAATTTTCTGTCCTGTAAAATACGCTCTGAGGCGTGTTAATGGCTGTCAGGCTCACTGATTTCTTTATCACCGTTTGACTGGTGCAGGCAGTTGCTAGCAGAACACGTGCTCTGTGTTTTCTGCTCTCCTGCTTGCCCTCTGGATGTGCCTCATGGCAGTGTCTGACCCGCTCTGAAGTCACTCTGGCATAGGGATGGATTCTGCCCTGGCCAAGGAAAGTTGGCAGCAGCAGCATCTCAGCCCATGCCTCCGTTTCCTTTGGCTTCCCACACATCCTGGTTTTTAGACCCCATATCTAAGTGGCTGGGCTGGGGCTGGTGACTTCTGGGCCTTGGGGCTTCATGGCACTTCTCTTCTGACAAGATCTGCCCTTTACAGCAAACGGTCTTTGCAAAAGAGCCACAGTGGTCATGGAAAGCTAGCAACAAGTCTATAAAGTGTAATTCATCTGCCATCACTCAGACTCCTGAGAAATGGGCATTTGGAATGCCGGGTCTGTGATTGAGTAGCAGGAGCATATAAAGGGTATATGGTGTGTTTAAATATTAAGAGACTACATATTTTAACACTATAGTCCCTCAAATTCACATCCACGCACCAATGTTGAATACAGTTGTCTGCATGCATGTAGAAGTTCAGATTTAAGGGGGCAGGTAATGCAATAAATATGAAAGATTTCCTCTCTCCTTTATGATTTCAGATGGTATGTTTCTGACTTCCATGCTCTTTTGGTATTCTTGTGCATCTCAGGATCATGAATTATTTGGCCGTGTGAAGCTTTGTTCCATCTCTCTGAAATATAGCTGTGTTATGTGGAGATCCACAGGCACACACAAACATCCCTCTAAAAGGAGGCTGTTCTTTGGGGACGGCTCTCACGTTCTACAGCCCTACCTGTTACTAAACAAGCATATGTTGGCACTTGCCTCTTGTCTGTGCAGTTAAAA